TGAAATTAATATGGAAGAAAAGTCCATAACTTTGTTCAGAAAGTCGTACAGCAGATATTAAACATAGATTTGGAATCAGCTTTTCAAGTCGCATCTACTGATATATGTTTCCCTACGAAAGACCACGGTCACCAAGCATCCTCCCCTCGTAAGCTGATCAACCGAGAGGTCAGTGACTTTTCCAACAAGCAGTAACTCCAGATTTTTTGAAGAAAAACTTGTTTACCGGTGAACTTCCTCGGAAAGCATTGTTCAGTGATTCGTGTAGAACTGATAGAAGAACATCTTCCTCCGAGTAATTTTCGGGCACAACTTGCTAAATCAAATTTCACATATTTAGACAATGATTACATCAAAGAACAGCCTACCCTTCTCATGTTCTGTGGAAGCATTGACTGGTACAAATCGCTGCGATTCCTTCGCTGCCGTGGACTAGTTTGAGCAGAAAGACCATCTCTTTCTATCAATTGCAACCACTCCTAAAACAGAGATTCTCAAGACATATCTCTCTGCAGACATAAGGCTTTACTGGAAAAGATCGTCTCCAGTTTCCATCGTAATCCTGAAGTCGAGCGCCATTTAATGGATCTCTTCCAGAAGAAGAAAGCTGAGCATTAGTGGACATCTGGGAGAAACCACGAGATGTTGACGCTATCGGCTGAAAGCTCGAGTGTGAGTTCGTGACGAAAGGCGCAGACGCTGCCTCAAAATGCCAATCGCGCTCAGCGATGATGAAATGAAATACTATATTGTTGTATAAATCTGTTTATTTCAATAAACAATTAAGAGCGTGGAAGAGAACCACCGAATTAGTAACTAAGTTTACATAGATATGAGCAAAATCGAACGAATTGAATGAGGTAAACAAATGAGGTAGGTGTGCAGTTCGGTAGGGAAAACACGCGATGTAGCAACTTTGTATGAGATTTGTGGCTAATTCATAGCACGCAAAACTACGACCAACATTTGGTGACACGTGTCGAGCTTTATACATGCATTACCCGCAATAAGGAACTAGTCAGAATAGATCGCAATCTTTGGCTGATAACATGCCAACCGGTAAGGCTACTACAAGCTCAAACAAAATTAGCATATTGATTATCGAAAACAACTACCTGCTGTGTTACGCACCTGAACTGAAATGAGAAACTAGCATAGAAAAGCATTAGACTTGATGATTAATGAGAAGATTCCAAAGCAGTGCAGATATTGACGATACGGTGCCGTACTGTTTATACATCCATATGATCAGAATGTACCTCTTCATCGTCCCTCACTTTTCGCTTTTTGGCGGGTGTTGGACCATTCGAAGACGCGCCACTTCGAGTCTATTTAGGGAAAGCAATGGTGAATATAATCAAAGCCATTAAACATGACAAAGCTGATCATATGAAACAAGAATATTCATATCATAAGGTAATTGAATCGGAAGAGAAGATTCAGTAGGACCAAAAAGAGCTACATTACTCTGTTTTACAAGGTGCTAGTGTTCGCAATGACGGTATCTCGCATTCTGCTTGCTATTTTGGGGCCACAAGAAAGCAGGCTCGATAACTCGCTGAACTCGCTTAGATATCATTCAGCACTACACAAACAGAAAAAGCAGCTTTGCAGGTCAAAAGCACTAAGATGATTTACAGCACACCAAATGCGAAATGAGAATCACGAATTTATGACGATTGACGTATTGAGAACAATATTCAAAGTATTCGCTCGCATAGACAAGATATGAAATGATTCCAAGAAATTTTTATGCACAAACACTGTAAAACTACCCATAAAATTCTGTAATTACAATATGTAAGGACACTGCACTGCGAAAACATCGCTCATCGATACCGCCATCGATAGTATGTCTTTTGTGGATATATGCGAAATTCAAAAAAGGATACGGATGTGAAGGACTATATTGGGTCATAGGCAAGATGATCACAATGAACTGACTATACATGAGAATACACTATAAGCCAAGCGTGTAAGCGCAGTAGAGAATCCAGGGAGAAAGGAAAATTTTAACCACATACCTCATCTAATTCATCACAGTCAGCTCGCGACGGATGCTCGCCGCTGCTCGAATCAACGTGCATCACATGGTCATCACGACTTGACCAAGCGAGAAGACGAGAGGGAAGCTCGTCGAGGTTTGGAAATCGTCCTGAATATGTTGCTATATACTATAAACGAAATCTGCATTAATCAATTCACTGAGTACCTTGATCTCTCAGAAAAGCAGCAATCCGTGGAAGTATGCAGCTTCTGAGACGCAAAAGCCGCGAAAGGTTAGCATCCGGATTACCCGCATTTCTGTCACCTCTCATCTAAAGAAGAGCTTATCAGCGCGACGTAGATGTTCAAAGTTTATGACCTACCAGCAATTCATACAAAATTCGAACATAAGCTGATTCATCTGCTTCCACAAAAGAGTAATTGCCCAGTGCAACCAGATATCGTATATAATCTCTCAAGCAATTCTGTATTCGATGAACGAACACAGGATCAGAGACTGGAAAATATCCATAATAAAAAACTAGACATTGCAGCACACATAAGTAAAAACAAGGTTTCTTA